TAGGCATTCTGCTTTAGTGAGGTGGACCTTTCTGGAAATGTGCATACTTTTGGAAAGGTAGTTGTAGATAGTTTGCTCATGCTTTACTGACATAGATAAAACCAAAAGTGGTCTCTGGAAAACATTGGCGAAAAGGGAACGGATGGGTGGTAGATATGGCACCAGAAACTCCGTCTGCACGGCATTAACTTTTCCGGTGAGAGGCACGGGAGCGCTATACTTCGGGACCTCGCAATCCACCTCTTGTCATTGCCTTGACATCCTTCTTGCGAATAGTCACCTTATTCAGATTCGTGGTTACCGGAACGTATTTTCTCCGTGGTTTCATCTTATTGTGTTGGATTTCAGGGATCCGTTTTCAGTAGGAAATGAAGGCACTGATTCTCGTCGGTGGGTATGGGACTCGACTACGGCCCCTAACTTTGACGCAGCCGAAGCCGTTAGTGGAATTTGCAAACAAACCAATGATGTTGCACCAAATCGAAGCTCTTGCTACCGTCGGAGTTACTACCGTTGTGCTAGCGGTCAGGTGAGGATCTTCCTTTCTTGCTGTAAAAATGGTTTCTGTTTGAAAACTTTTACGCCATTCTGCGCTTTTAGATGACATCTATAGGGCCTCATGAACAAGTAATTATCTTGCCAATGTATACTACCAATAAAGCTTAGATCTTGAGGCGTCATTAATTGTAAGTGTTCTAGTGGGTTGTAAGATTGCGCACTCTTGGGCAGAATTGGGGATGATATTCGCGTATTCAAAAACAGGATCCGCGATCAGGATAAAAGTCAACCTCTGTTGGGAAACAACGACGTGGTTCATGATTGCGATTCTTTGAAAAGAGTCGTATTCAGTGAAATGTGCTCTGCAATTCTGGGGAATTGGAATAAGGTTCTTCGCGAAGTGGAAAAAATTCTTTAAAAGTAGACGACTTGCTGTAGAAATGGTTTCTGTTTGATCATGACCTTTTCCCCCATCCATCGAAAGACTTTCTTGTGGTTGGGTACAAATAGGAATATCTCACAATAAGATAGGATTACTAGAGGAGTGACCAAAGTGGGGAGGGGTTCGCACAATTTTTTTCAGAAAGAGGGTCGTACCTAAACCCAAACTCTCCTTAAGGCTGGTGTCAAAGTCCGCGATCCGTCGCAAGTTTCGCTGATTTTCGCGATTTGCGCGATTCACGCGATTCACGCGACGGGTCACGGAAATCACAAGTGCCCGATCAATACTGCAAGGTGTTCTCCAATCCTGCCGCCACTTCTGCTTGATAGTGATGGCTGAATGACGACTGCTCATGATTCCACTTGTTTCATATTCAGTGTTTCAAATGTTCACACACTTGCAATTTTTGCGATCCGTCGCGTGAATCGCGCAAATCGCGAAAATCAGCGAAACCTGCGACGGATCGCGGACTCTGACACCAGCCTTACACCGGCCTAACATAATGACTAACCCTGCTAGTAATCAGTGCGATGGACATTGCTAGTACTGGAGCGGGAAGGAAAATGACAATGAAAATTGATCAATATTTATGCTGTCTCTTTTTTGTAATGCCCTTATCATAACTATACGTGTTTGCTTTCGTTCAGCTATCGCGCCGAACAGTTGGAGCAGGAGATGAAGGTTCATGCGGAGAGGTTAGGAATCCAAGTGCATTTTTCACTTGAAGAGGAACCATTGGGAACTGCAGGGCCGCTCGCTCTTGCAAGGTAAACTGAAGCTTACCCTTTATTTCCATGTGTATTGTAAGTTTTCTGTAGTGTGCTATGGGCTTGACTTTCACACCAAAATTGATAACATTTAACGCTTCTTAGTAAATTCTGACTTAATCTGTGTATTTTATATTTCATTTTAGGCAATACCTCGATGGCGAAGAGCCCTTCTTTGTATTGAACTCCGATGTCATTTGTGACTTTCCATTCCAAGAAATGATTGACTTTCATCTATCTCATGGTTGTGAAGGCACCATAGCAGTTACCCAAGTAGGTGTTGTTTGGCAACTCAAGCGGTTAAAAATTTGCGTACTGGTAAAAATTCCTAACGAGTGTACTGTGTGATCTATCGTCTACGCGTCTTTTCTGAAATACTTTTCCCTATGTCTAGGTCGAAGAGCCTTCGAAGTATGGAGTGGTGGTCTTCGATGAACACAATGGTATGATAGCTGAGTTTGTGGAGAAACCTCAAGAATACGTAGGAAACAAAATCAACGCCGGTCTCTATATATTCAGCCCTTCAATACTTGATCGAATTTCTCTTCGTCCGACGAGTATTGAGAAGGAGGTAAGGCTAAAAGGCTTATATTGGTTGGACAATTATGATTGGGTTCAACTTATTAGATCTTCCCAAAAATGGCCGATGCTGGCACTCTTTTCGCTTTCGTTCTCTCTGGGTTCTGGATGGACGTAGGACAACCAAAGGATTTCCTCAAAGGTAGATTAGATTTGAAAAACCTTCCACCTCACTCTCAGTTCTTGTATTCAGGGATGTCGCTATTCTTGGAACATAAGCGCCGAACAGAACCTTCAGTGTTAGCTAAAGGTGAATCTGTTCAAGGCAATGTTTTGATAGATCAAACCGCAACAATTGGAAATAACTGCAGGATTGGTCCAAATGTGGTCAGTTGTGATTGGTAATTTTCACGCTATTATAGCTTGTTCTTTCTTATTATCCTCATCTCTACATGATGCCGCATGGAGTCTTTGATTATCCATCTCGCCCGTTTTCCCTCGGCCTACCTGAAGTGGCACATCTGCTCCATGGTTTTTTTAACTACACAGAATGACATAGATTCATGCATAGAGCCGAAACATACCGAAAGGCGGAAAAGGGCGAGTTGGCTTGGAGACACAACCCACGATCGAGTTGGGATGATGATTCCTCAAAAGTGAGCGTAATGATGTGAAGGGAGCCATCTATGATGAAAAAAGGGAAGAAACCGTTATCCACATCGCAAAAGCACCATCCTCTTCGGTCGCAGCAAAGAAATCTGGGATGGGAGGAGGGCGGGTTTCGACGAGCTTTTTGATCATGGCCGTATCAAATGCTACGTCGTAATACACGTCGCATGTTAGTGGGTGAGCGCTAGTCACATCCATTTGCTCGAACTTGCTCTAAGTTGGTCACTTGCAAGGTCTAAAAATTGCGCCACCTTCCCATTCAAAGGATCCATCCAAGCTCATCGTGGCTTGTTGCTTCACCATACAACAAAATTGAAAAGGAAAGCGATGGAGATACTCCGAGTGTTGTGGTGCAGGTGGCTGCCGAGGGAGTGTGCAAGTTAGGCAAGACGATGAGTCAGCACCCCACTACACACCACTTTCTTCTGTTCCCACCCCCTTTCGCACCCTTCCTTTGATTTTACGTCGAAGAAATTGACAGTAGAATCGAAAGTCGGTTACATTGCCTCGTCACAGTCCAGCTTTCACGATAATGAAAGCCTCCTTCGACTTCAAAGATTCCATATGAAACTAATATGCTGTCAGTGTAACGTTGGCGATGGCAGAGGGGGAGCTGATAGCTGGTCCCATATTTGGTGGGATTCCATGATCAAGCTCACCACCGCAGACGGACTAGTTCTAACTGGCCAGTCAATTTCGAAATATGTTATAACACAGTAGAAGAATTGTGTCACTTGTGTGGGTCAGTAAAGTAGAAGGGCAGGTTCAGCCGTGATGGCATCATTTTTGATCAGAGTAACGACACGGGATGTGTGGAGAAATGATTAATTTTCGATTGGCTAGGGCGTCTAAAAAAGAAGTTTTCAACACTGGACGTGATAGGGAGTCAGATAACCAATTTTGAGAAGTTGATCTTCCGCTCTTCAACCTGATTTTTTCCTAAAAGTTGTCAAAGATTCTCTTTCCGGAATTACAAATTTTGTTGTCATAAATATGGATCCAGTTGCCTTTGTTCAAAACATAGGGATGAGCTCTACTGAAGCATTCAACTTGTCGCAATAATGCTTTTAAACAAATGAAGTTGAATCGACCTTCAGTAAAGCGATAGTTCTTGTTTTGAGACTTTTCCTCCTTTTCCATCTTGTACATGTTCTCAAAACTAGGCACAGGATACCTTTTTGTACAGTCGATCGATATTCTAGCGGGTGCAAACACTTGTTTATACTATCTGCCCAACTCTCTTGTGGCTGCTGTTGGTTTCCTATTTCACACCCCATTGTGTCGTTGGTGTTTTGCGAGAGCTATTTGCTTGTGATAATGGCAAAAATCAGAACTGAGTGGTCGGTCACATTGACCTATGAGTAGTGAAAAATTCTGTTTTCCATAGGAGGTCAGAATGAAAGGAAAAGGTTCGTGAAAGGTTATGTCGTATAATTCGTAGTCAGACGGTATCACTAAGACAACTCATTACTGTGATAACGGTGTTCAAGCCTTGAATTCTCTATGTTGGGTATTCAGTTGACTTTTACCTCTTGTATGGGGAAAATGAAGCACTGACCTGTTCATCGGCCGACCCGTGGGGCAGTATATAGGCCAAACCGCATTCAAACGCCACTGCGAATCTTGAATGGAAGTAGAATGCGTGGCGTATTCAAAAGAGAAATCAACGCGAAAATTTTGTCTATATCCCGTCCGGCGCACTTTTATAGTTTTGGGGGCGAAGTTTTGAAATGTACGAAAACGAACCAGTGTCAACAGCATTATGGCCGCCACCTATCGTTGCACGGGGGTCTTGTTGGGAACCCTTCCAGAGAGATGGTCGTCCAATTTCAAAATTTTTCCTAACATGGTGATTGGACCTGATTTCGGGTTGTTGTATTAAATTTGTGATCCAAAATCTAAAGGTCTCATTCAGGTAATTGGACCGAGAGTGCTAGTGGAGGATGGCGTTTGCTTACGCCATTGCACAGTGTTGTCTGATTCTATCATTCGGACACATTCGTGGATAAACCAAAGCATTATTGGACGAAAATGCTCTATAGGGCGGTGGGTGCGCATTGAGAACAACAGTGTGATTGGAGATGACGTGGTAAGTGTACCTAAAACGTCCTGGTGGGGTGCCTAGGTTTGAATGAGATGCTTTGTTCAGGTTGTAATGGATGAACTCTACCTAAACGGAGCCCAGGTATTGCCTCACAAATGCATTTCCAGCAATGTTCCGGAACCTCATATCATTATGTGATAGCCTAGGATTATCTCGTACTTTGTTGATGTTCGAAATAGTCACGGTGGTGTCACCACGCAGATTTACTTTCCACTTTGATTGTGATAATCTGATTCTCTGTGATTTTCTTTGTGAATGCCGTATTTATTGCAAGGGATGCCTTATCACACTGTGAATTCAAGCGCCTCACTTTAACTTATGTTGTTATGGTTTTGTTCCTTTTTATGAAAGAGCATTAGGGGTTGTTATGCAAGCGTGCAATTGTTATCTTTTTTTTGCTGTTGATTTTCGGGGTTTTCAGTCATATCTTTTTATTGCGGTTGAATTTACTTCCTATAAAATTTATTATCCTCTTGGTGTACCATTGATTTTTATAGGTTCTAGCCAGCATGGCACCACAGCTATTATCGTTTGGTTTGTAATGCATTTTTATATTGTATCATTAGCGTGAATATCAGGACAAAATTTGAAGAATGCCAAAAGTTGGTAGTTTTGCGACCCGGTAGAGCTAGTAGTGACCTATACAACCAGATTAACTTACTGATAGCCAAATTAATTTTTTTTGGAAAGCGTCTGAGCTGCTCGAGGTCGTACCATGAATGAGTTCCATCCTCAACTGCCTATGAAATGAACTCGATAGCTGGCTCGGTGGAGGCAGAGGATTGGTTGGACATATCGGACTCTCTCTCCCTACCTTCACTTTCATTAGATGATGTGCTCAATGAGGTGATTCAATAAATGCTTGGGTAATTATGCTAAGAAGAGGATTGACACCATTTTTCTGGTTTCAGGTAAGCCAACTTGACGATGACCTGCTGGATGGACGCTTGTCTGGAAGTGTTGATCAAATCAGTCCGCCACCAGCCGCCGCCTCCACAAGTTATAAGTTGGACAGCGCCGTTAAAACTGAACGACTAGGTACGGAACAAATCATTTGGAATCTAAACAGTCAAAAAAAAAGATCTAATTTGGCAGAGGGTCAGAAGAGGCCTGAGTTTTTATTGACGAACGCACCTCGCTTAGAAGAGGCGGAAGGGTGCCATTCCGTCAATTAACTAGGCCTCTTCTGGACCTCTGCCACAATATATGTATAGCATATTATGATACGTTAGTTCGTATAAATTTTTCGGCACTATTCAACTATTACAACCCCAAAATCTCAAAATTTTATTTTTCGTCGAAACTTTGTCTATAGGGGTAATTCGGTGCCCTGATTACGAAAATGACATTCATTTTCAACGGGGGCGCCATCTGGCGCCAGGTGGCGTCACCTTGTCACGACAGTTGTTTTCACCAAACTCGATGTAAACTTCTGGGTAGGGGTAATTTGGTGTCCAGATTACGAATATGACATTCATTCTTGGCGCTAGCTCCATTTAGCGCTTTAATCTCTTCGTCTGCGCCCTCCTAGTGACTAGATCGCGATCAGGACTAAGCTTTAGGAGAGAGGAAAGATATCAGTGAGTGAGCCCTCTACCTGTGATCTCACACGCTCCATCTTCGTCACACGGTGCCTGATTCACTCATTCCGAGTCTCCCTATCCCCTAAGCTTAGTCCCAAGGCGCTATGTATAGGTGAGAGAGCCCAGAAAAGCGGGAATTATGCGGTAAACAGCGGTCATGTCAAAAACGAATGTCATATTCGTGATCAGGACATCAAATAACCCCTATACAGAACTTTACACCGAATTTGGTGAAAACATGTGTCGTGACAAGGTGGCGCCAACTGGCGCCAGATGGCGCCACCGCCAAAAATGAATGTCATTTTCGTAATCAGGGCACCGAATTACCCCTATAGAGGAAGTTTCGACGAAAAATAAAATTTTGAGATTTTGGGGTTGTAATAGTTGAATAGTGCCAATTTTTTCAATTGTATAGCATACAATTTAAAGACGAGTGTTTCGCGCACCTGAGTTGCAAACATTTTGAATGTTATTTCTCTTTTAAAGCTGACTTCGAGAGGCCCCATGTTGGCTAACACAATCTGACGGAATTTCTGAGTTAGTGTTTTTTTTAGATTCGATATCTCATCAGTTGGTCTCTTTTCGAGCTAAGCATGGTTCTGCAGTCGCGGTTGCGTGCAGTGGAGGATATACTGCAGTAGCGACTAGCAAGGGCTCGTTATTGCTTTTTGATGCGGAGGTAATATGATTTAACACATCGACGAATCCATCATTTTGGTGCTCATCCACGGAAATGAGCAAATTTTATTGTTACTGGTTGACGGGATGCTTTAGCTACGGGTTCTTTATTTGTGAACTTCTACTATGTATTCTGTTTTGAGGGACGCCTGGAGCGTTTTCGTCATGGAGGCGAGTTAGAAGGCTCAGCATCTTGTGTCGCGTTTTCCAGTGGCGGAGGGCATATCGCTGTTGGGTACAGCAAAGGATTTGTAAAAGTTAGTTTCGAACAAAAACAGTTGTGTGTTGAACAAGTTGATACGACTTTCAGATCATTAACACAAAAACTGGCGCTGTAGAAGAGTTGATCCAGGAAGCGGTACAAATAGGTCGGGGAGTACTGCAGATACTGTATCTCGGTTCACGCCGTACTATTCTAACTCTCGACAGTGGTGGATCGGTTTTTGAAATCCACACACGACAGAGGTTTCGGCTCGCAGGAAAATCGCGTGTTTGTGCATTCTTCTTTTTTGATGTCATCTTACATTATTTTTGGTAGTTCTTTTTGAAGATTCGATGCGTGTTTTCTGGATGCAATGGAGAAGTTATTCACATGCGTTTGCTACCCTATTCTCTGCTAGCTTTGCTGACAGTCTCTAAGGTACGATCATTTCAAACTCTATGGCGGTATTTGGAATCATAGGATTTTATAACAGTGTGATTGTTTAGATTTTAATCGTTTCCACTCGTCTGGGTGGATCAGTAGTTTGCGTATTTCCTATGGAGACGAGCCCAAGCTTTCCACCTTTGCTGGACTTCATTGAAGAGGTTGTCAGTGATAATTAGCCTGTTTGTTCGACATGATTTCTCATTCCGCTCATAAAAATAGGAATTGGTTAATGATTTTCCGTGAAACGCTAGTTGTTATGTTGCAGAACAAGGCCACTAATGGGGAGCGCAGTATGTTACGCATTTGCGTAGGACGTGGGAACGTTTTGAGCATATTCAGGCTCAATCCACAACACATCGGCACAAAGCGAAAGGCGGTCGTGTTCGTCCATAAGGTTCAATTAGCTCAGGTAATCATCATTTATTGTTTAAGGTAGGTGCATCTCGTATTCATATGTCCTTTTATGCTTTACATTTACCTACCAGAATCATGTCTCGGAAACTTAAAGCTTCAATCCTGGGAACTGTTATGATTCCCAAGTTTTGCGTGCTTTGCGGCTTTATATGGCAATTCAACTTTTGCAAAATCTTCCAGTGTGGAACCTCGCGAAGAACCACTATTCATGGAATTGATAATACGCTTACTAGGAAGATCTTTCAGGTTGTGACCCGATTTTTCGAAATGGTTTCCAGCATATGTAGGGACACATGTATGGAGCGTTGAACTGTGGTTCATTTTTTTGAGTGGGCCTCTGAACGGCAAATAAAGGATGGAGAAACGGTTGATGGTGTGATTTCTCCTGGTGGCAGAGTTTTGCATTGTTGATTGACGCTTGCGTAGAGACACGAAATGGTACTCGCGGCTGGTTATGAATATCGTATTACTGTCAGGGCCATAAGTAACCCATGTGGGACGGTTTGCGCTTAAATTGATGTCAAAAAAGGGTGTCGCTTAAGCTTTTTAACCTCTTTCCTGGCATTCGTGGGCCGCTCAGGTAAAAAGAACCATAGTTTTGTGTTCCATGCATGTGCCCCTACATCATGCAAAAAAAGTCTTCTAGGAAGCAGGGCACGACTAGAAAGACCTTCCTGGTTAGTGCTGATTTTTTGAAATTTTCCATGTTGAGTTCTCCCATGTCACCTTAAGATATATCACCTTCGGATTAGTAGAGCTCTTGTCTACCGTGTCTTTCTGTTTGATCGCTGGGCTCAATGATTCAGGCCCCTGAAAAGTTCTCCGAGAAAGATTTCGATATTTCAGTCCATTGTGAACTTTGGTTTCCTTACGAAGTCCTATTTGGTCGCGTTCGATGAGAAAGGGGCTTTTTCAACAATAAGAGATGACAAACAGGTGTCTTCTCAGAGCAGCTCACCATGCAGGATACCGCTGTTGTTCTCAACGTCAGACTTCAAGGTGTCTAAAGTGCTTTATTCTAAAAATTGATTCAATCATGGATTCTAATGTATTTTAGGGTTTAACTACTGGTGGTAATGTGAGTCCAGCTATGCAATGTTTGGCAGAGAGGGCATGCTACCAGTCACTTTGCCGAAAAGGCTCTTCTGATTGCCTAATTGCGCTTTCTCATGACGAGTTGTTTGAACTGACACTTATAACTGAGGATGATCAGTTGGAGTTGTTCAACTCGAGGTAGGGGTATTTCTTTGTATCGTTAGGGCCGTATGCTGAAGCTCCCTGACAAAGATGGAGGAGAAAATTACGTAGACTTGGTTTTTATGAAATCTCGCACGGGGAGAGGACAATAAAAGAAAGGCATTTTCTTTTCCTCTCAAACGGATTCAATCACACTTTGATAATTTCACTCCGAATAACTTAAATTAAAGAAACAAATCTTGACACAGGTAAAACTGCTGCCACTAATTTGGCACGCATCATGATGGGGTCCCGACAGATCGTGTTACCATTACGGCATGACCCGTTTTAAGTCCACTCTTATTTAGACCTTATTCTCTGGTGCTATTTCTCATCTAACCAAACAACGCCCCATTATTTTTAGAGGTGATTTTGTGTCAGCCTGCTATTATCTGTTCGATATCCATCGCGGTCGCATAAAAGCTGATCAGAAGTTCACGGAGCGCCTTCCGAATTTGCTCACGAACAGATGAGGCGATACTTACCTTGCCTATGAAGCGTTGCAAGAGAAAGTATCGCATCTTACTTAGCTCATTATAAGGTGAGCATTATGATTTGTGTCATTCAATCTTTCAAAAGTTTTATTTTTAGACATACATTTCAATTCTTTTGACCGTTTGCGTGGGGACACGAATGTATGGCTACCTGTATGACGAAGTATGCAAGTATATTCAGGATTATTACTCGGATTTTTACCTTCTCACTATCCCTGTGGTCTACAAAGTTATTTGGTAGAAATGCACTAATAATCCTCGCTAAAATTATTTGGGTGAAATGGCAGTAGGTTACCTTTATGTTAACTTGAGCTGACATAAACCTATGTAAAACACCACAGTCCTTTTTGTATTCACATTCTGTTCTCCCATCTTCATCAGCAAACTTGCTGGCCATCTTCGACGATAATACTATTACAAAAAATCTTTCACTGTTGGCTATGAATATTTCTTGATATGTCTCCATTATTAGGTAGAACCCATATGTTGTCTCGTTACATATTTCTTGAATCCCTCGATGAATTCGTGTTGGATGGAACACTGGACTCGCCGCCGCCGGCATTGGTTTCGGCCTACATCACCCACCTAGCATCGGAAGGGCACTTCTCACAATTACAAGCTTCAGTCGTTCGATTTCCAATACAGTGTATTGATTTGCATTATGTGAGTATCGCTTGATTATTGTTGTGCTTTTTGCCTTTTGTTGCTCGTTTATGATTATATTATTTCTTCTATTTATGGTTCATCTTAACCTGAAAGGACCTCACGGTAATTCAACCTGCAAGCAGAAATGTCTTTACATGAAATTATCTCTCAGGTTTATGAACAAACTCTGGATACCTATTCGCCTTGGAGGTAAATCTCGTGATTTCCCCAATGTTCTTATTATTATAATGACTTCGTTTCTACCAATAAATGAATGAGCTATGAGAACGAAAGGTGAAATCACCTTCAAGTATGCCCACTCGAAACGCTCTTAAAGCCACCGTTTGTCAGCGCAATTAAAGAGCGTGGGAAAAAGGAAACCGAAAACTGCTACACGTTTGATTCGTACGAGTCGTTCATGTTCCGTTTCTCGGCTTTAGTTTCGTTCGAATCTGTCGAAGTCCCTTTGAGACGCTCTACGGCTTCTTCAACCTACATTCTCAGGACTACTCCTTCTTTGATATAACCTCAGCATAACGCATGGCCATTTTTTCAGGAGATGTTAAGCGATGTTTCATCTTTCGCTTCAAACGAGGTGCTATTCAGATTCTGACAGTAGGAGGGTAATCCGATTATTGTGGTATTTACACTGCTTCTTGCGGTCATCTTATCCTTGACGCTACCACTGACCATTGGCTACTGCTATGAGTCGCATTTATAGCCTCTTATCTTATTTTTCCACGGATTTTATTTCCTCTCAGGTCTACCTTGAATCACTTCTTTGAAAGGCAAAGACGGTATTTCTTCTGGTGTATCATATCCGTATCTCAGGCTTTTGCTTCTTTTTGATGCTCAACAGGTTCGCCGCTCCAGTTTCTGCCTCGACTTCTCCTACTTAAGTATGATAAGTGATGTTTTTGTATTAAATATGATCCTTTTCAGTTACCCAGTATCCGTACTTGCTGACCTCCGATATTTCAAATGACGAAGATTACAAAGCCTTGTTTGAGAATGTGTGTTCTGCTTCTTCCAAATAGTGCTTACAACCACGGGCTGACTTCAATATTACATTCCTTTATTGTATGCCTGGGACCTTTCCATGCATTTTAACACCAAATCGGATGAGTGACCTCAGAATGTTTGAAGATCCTGCATTGGATCTCATTTTTAAATATAAGAGGAATAGGGGCTAATAATGAAATCTTTAAGCACTCGCCTATTCTATCTAGAAGAATGTAGAAAGGTCCTTAATCCGCGTCATTGTCGATGGAGCTACGAAAGAATCGCGCTGGTGCATTTTCTATTGCTCATCAGTCAGTTGGTGGACATTACTGGTGTGGTGACTCCAGTCGAGATTGTTGAGGACGTTAGCCTAGAATTTTTGTCAGGGCTATGAATGAATTACAATCAACCGTTGACTTCTGGAACTCCTTCCGTTCAGGTTGTCTCCACTTTGATGCGTATGAAGTGGCAAAGCTCTTCCAGAGTTCCATTCGTAGAAACGCTCAACGTTCCCAAATATACAGAAAGCATTTTCGTATGCTTCGGCCCCAGTAGGATCATTACTTTATTAGATCCAGTTTTGAGCTACAAACAACAGTTAATACTTGTAGATCTTCATTGCTCATGTAGCAGAAGCTTCGTCTCTACATATCTCTCCCTTTAACACGCGTTGACAAGCGAGGGCACATTTATCCCGAGACTGTCAAATGTACCAATCCCACCTCAAAATCCAAAACGCGCCGGAATTCGTCAATGTGCTGAATTCGTCTGATTTACAACTTGAGCTCTACTTTATGTAAGCTCTTTTCTCCACCATTACTAGCATACACACATTGACGACCGCCGTTTAAGTGCACGCATACCCATATCTTTTAGAGTTTCTCATCAGTAGTAGTTGCGTCAGTAGTTTCCTTACTAATAAAAAGCGTACTATTTCCTGCGGCCGATAGTGCATACGGGCCACTCTGGACGGGTAAAAACGGGGGAACAAACTAGGTAGAACGAGCCTCCTTCGAGCGCAAGTGCGGGACATGTCATTCCGCTCTCAGTCCGTCGTCAATGTGTTAATAAAACCTTTATTCACAGGAGTTTTTTAGTCATGGTTGAAGTATAGTATTGATTCAGAAAAGAGATATGCACATTTATTTATTGTGGCGAACGTAAATTCGTGGATCTCATTAACTGCTATATACGTGATGCAGATAACGAGGTAAGCGTAATCACTGGTAAGTACCGACGACTGGTTTCTTAATTGCAAATTTTTAAGGGGATATTTTCTGTCATCCGTCGAATCCTTCACACTGACCTAACCCAACAAGAGTATCAGGAGGTGTCACAAGTTGTGTGCCAGCTTATCCCTGTGAGCAGTTGAATCTTTCATTCATTGCTTCGTTCCTCGAAAAGAGGTAGAAACGGATCTAATTGTGACGCTTTAGCAATTGGCTGCCGTAAGTGCCAGAGAATGTGCCGATCTTGTGATTGATTGCTTTCCAAACTATCTCTTGAATCTTCGTTCGCACACGACAGAGGAAAGGATGGCAAGCTATCCCTTGTTGAAGGCTGCATTCGAAATCAAGTACTGTTTCGGTTTGGACTACTTTCTCACTTGGATGCAGAGTCAACCATTTTTTGAAATTTTGCCAGTGAACAATGCACCTTGCTTGTGGTCATAGAAAAGAAAAATTGCTCACGTGAATTTTGAGAACTAGGAAAACTTCTTTTGTTATTTTGAGAAATTTTGGAATTTTCGACGTTTCAACAGTTATACAATACCTAACCCGTCTTTATTAGCCGAATGCACTTTTGGAGTTTCGGGGCGAAAGGTTCGTAGACGTGTCAAAAAGGGGTTGGTCAATAGGGGCTATAGCCCTATGGACGCAATGGAACGTCGGAGTGTTGGGTTTTAATGGAGACGCCCCCTCCAAAGTCAATGACGTCCTTTTTTTAACGAGGCGGTTGACTCTGTTTGCAACAGCACAAAATGCGAGTAGTATTTATTTCTTTTATAAGTGCTAATCTAATGCCGATGCCAAGGTATGTTGACTAATGGAATCTGCTGGCATCTGAGAGCATTCTAGGGTTAATAAAATTTTCATTATCATCGTAACGTTATTACGAAGTGTTGCTGGTGATTGAGGCGTGAGCGACAAGAAAATTTCTTGCAAATGGACGAGGACGTTGAAGAGCATCTCTTTGGCACTGTGTTTGAAGGCCTGGTCAAGGAACAAGTCGAGAATTTGGACAGCACCTTGCAGGTCAGTTTGAACTAGCAAGCAATGATCGAAGCGATCTTGCAAAGCACCATGAATTGGAGGTCACAAAATATGTCGCTGTATTTCAAATTTATCGTGGAATGAGGGAAACTGCGAAACGAGGCAAATAGGGAAGTTTGGGAAACAGATAGTCCTTCAGATAGCATACATTATACCTCGAACGGGAAAGAATGAACATATGTTCCACTTCATTTTGCATTGTTCCTGATTCATTTATTTGTTAGCTTAGAGACTTACAAGTAGTATTTAAAACACCTGGTTGGTCCCCGAATTTTTTTTTAGTTTTTTTTCTGCTTTTTTTTTGGTAAAGCACAAATCCTTGTTTGGGGTAGGAGCCATTGTGTGATAAGGGCCACCGTCCAGAGTTGAACGGTCCCTAGGTCGAACCTTACTGAGTCCAACTGGAACGGTATAAGCGATGCTTTGAACATTACCTGATTTCTGCAACCTATAGTTCAAATGAGCCTAAATTCTCGATGAAAGTTGCATTTGTGATGGAAAGATAACAGCGCCAACCATGTTAATGTCCATCATTCTTCAAACAAGACTTGTGGCTGAACTCGCTATTAAGGATTTGCTTTTGTACTGGCTTCCTACGGGCTCGCGCACGGATTTCTGCTTGAATCTCGCCGCTGCAGCTGACTGCACCAACACCACTATATTATTGATGGAAACGCGAAATCGCCTGAATGATGCTTTCGAAATACTCTTCAAGCAAATCGCTGAGAGCGAAGGTGACCAGCAGCGTTTTGGTGAGTGGTTCAGTGTATTGTTCACTACAAAGTTAGTTAATTGGTATTCCAGTGCTTTGGTTGGACAAGGGTTTATCATTCTGTAGCCGGCATACAAGTTCCGCTCATTCAAAAGGGTGGCTCATTCGAATTATGCGCACGGTCACACGAGCTGTCGTTGAAAACGATACTGCAGGTAAGTAATGAATCTCGGCTTCTTCTACCCTGCCACTGAGCCCTTTATATGACTAGCAGTGCCTTAATTTGTTGGCCTCCCGGTCCCTTATTTTGTTTCGGGCGTTAGCTTCATGTTTATGTCTTACTGAAGAGATTGTTGAAAAAGTTGAAAAATAAGCTGGATCTTATAAGCAATAGGAGAAGGATTCGAGCATTATCGTCGCGCTTTATGATGTTTGATGGGAAAGGGCTTAGTACATGAGAGGTAAGGATGTACATTAGAGGGGCGTGAAAAGAAAACCACATCGATTTGTACGATAGGTTAGTAGTTCCTAGTTAATTGAGTGATTCACTGGGCACTGAGGGGAGGCGATTTTGATCTTGGGCACATCGTGGAGCGGGAGATGTAAATGAGGGGGAAGTGGCGTGCCGAAGGCGGAGTAGGAGTGGAGCAAAAAAATAAAGGAATAAAAGTGGAGAAATATGTCAATTGCTTTTGTTCATTTTTAGACATGGAGTTTCGTCTTCAGTCGTTAGCAGGTGGCATACTGGAAAACGGCTCTGAACACTCCCTAGAGCTAGTGGAATGCCTCTTGGACTATCCTGCGTTCAAGAATGGACGTTTTAGGTAAGTGTGTAAAACATATAATTATTGCGAACCAGTAACTCGTACTTACATCAGCCAGTGACGTTGCCTCTTTTTAAATGCATTGTTTTGCAGTGACTACGCGCCGTTGATTAACAAGATACTTGGGACCTGCTCACATGAAACATTCCTCATCAACCAGCTCCTTATGTGCATTGTAAGTTCTGTAGCGGTTCTACTGCATAGAGCCTTCAAACTTTCGTATAACTTCGTATAATGTATGCTATACAGATTGGTTGCCCGACGGTTTTCAAAAAGGAACTGGTCATATTTCATGTTGAAAGTGTGCTTTTGGGATGCGCCATGTAATGAACTATACTTACGCAAAGCATGATAAAACATTGGCCAAAGTTTAACGAAAGGGTCTTGTGAAAAACGAGATCAGATCAATGGAGTGGGAATAAATTTGTGGAAAGATCGAAGGAAAGATGTTTAAGAGGCGAGAAAAGAAGAAAAGTCTTAACAAATTTTCAGCAAAGAAATTGAAAAATGTTGAAAATTTTTGCAATTTTGATTGTTTTCGCCAGCCAGGATGTAAACCTTCCCTTCCCGCCGCCGATCGTCAGACTTTTGATGTAGTAGTGTTGCAGACGTTCTGTTAAGTAGGACCAGGGTGATGCGTAGACGTTTCTCTCCTGTGGTCAGCGTAACCCAAAGTTGAAACGTCATTTCGCTAGAGCAAGCTTAGACTAATGCCTAGCTCATTATCATAGGCTTGCACAAGCCAATGTGTAAGATAAGCTTAATCTGAGTCGGAAACCAAATCTTATGTTAAGGCTTCAACGCAATCGCGCAATTGTGTGTGACCTTGACCCCATGAGGAGAACGCACGTCCTCCGCAGAGTTATTTAACGTTAAGAAAATTACCTCGGACATCGCTCTCTGCTGTGCGAGAGTAGAGCCGATAGTGAATGTACGCGTGGAGAGCACAGACGGCTCGCGGGTGGCGAGAGTGAATATCCGCGCGCGAAAACGTAAAGGATCAGGCAAAAATCCTCGGCGTGCCGTTGAGGAATCTCAAGCAATATTCACCTTGTAGGGACTCATACCTCATTAAGGGTGGGTTCACAGAGGACGTTAGACCTTGACCACACACAGTGGCCAAATAGTACTGATTCCTGATAAGCGTACCCACCTTCTACATAAGCGAATACTTTACCAGCACGACAATTCGTGTGGTCCGAGTATGTTGAAACAAATTGCCATGTGCACAATTCCTGTCCACTGTGTAATATTCCATTCATCATTGTTCTTGCAAACAATGTATGATGACCATGACGGGCGCTCAGGACGTGTTTCAGATAGGCTGCCACGGTTACTCTGAAGTTTTTTTATGAATTGACAAATTTTCAGATCGGAGGCTTCTGTGATATTGCAGTAGTAATTAGGTTAGCAGTAGTTTGATGACGGCATCTAACGCATGGTCCGTGATGGAGTCCCGGTCGAATTGTGCGCAAGGCTGGTGTCAGACTTTGCGAATCCAGCGATTCGCTAGTGAATTGAGCGATTCGCTACCAGATCGCTGGATTTGCGGAAAAGTGGCGGAGCCAACATTCAAAGGGAGCCCCGCCACTTTCAATCAGGATCGAATCGAATATCGTTCGAACGCTGGTACCCATCTCGGTATGTAGCGCTGGATTCGCGAAGTCTGACACCGGTCTAATTTACCCGGGCATTTCCCTCCAACCTCGACTGCTTGGTAACAGATCAGTTTGGGTGAATTGAAATGGTGCTTTATCTACACATTACACATCGGTTGTCCTCCGCACATCATTATATCTACCAACTCCCTAGGTGATCCGCTTTTGCATGCGCAAGGCCTCCTTTTACCTTGACATGGTAATTAGATGTATACAATATGACGTGAAGTAAATTATCATCTTATGTGATGGTTTTCAGGATGAGGAGAGCACCGAACAACTCTCCTCTTTGCAAAAGCTATTTTCCCGAAAAATTGGCGATTTCATCGAAGATGAATGCATTCAATGTCGGTCAAGCGTCACTAAAGCTGCATATCTTTTCAGGTATGTTTCAATTAATTTGAGATCTCCAGGGCTTACAGTCTGCTTGATTGATTGTGGTTCCAGCTGTGGACACTTTATTCACATGGAATGCGACAACGGAAGCCGTAAATGTCCTTGTGTCAACGAAGTAACAAAAGCGATTCGACCAACGTCGATTCGACATGCATATGTCCATGCTAAGGCCACGGTATCAGCAGAAATTCCAGACGACTAGAGATATTTTTGAGAAATGGGATGATCCTTTGTTGCTTGTACCTCATTGAAATGTCGCTGTGTTACTTTGCATGCCTTGTAAAGGTGCCTTCGTCAGATATTTTGCAATTGAGATCTTTCTACCTAGGTCAAATGATGTGATGTTGTAGTGTTGTAGGTTATTTGAATTACCCTCAGTTGTTTACTAAATGCCCATGTTGCTACCGATTCGAGGGATTTGTGCTCTATATTCGGTGCTTAAGAGTTACATAGTGATAGCAGTTAAGTTAGTATGACCGGGTTCCAACCGCAAAATGTGATCATTGATAACTTATCATAAATGAAGTTTACTAGAATAAAGTTATATTATATTATGGATGGTGTGTAAAACATGTAAACTTGGACAATCTTGGCAGGACATAATGGAAGCAAAGTGTAGAACGCTTTTCCCAATCACTGCTTCAAACGATGCGACGCCTGCATTGCCTTGCTCTCGAATCCAAGAGCAAGCTGGATGCATGTGCACTTCAGCTACCTTTGCGCAAAAGATAGTCTTTCTAATCATTTGGTCTACTCCGGTCCTACTACCAAAAAGATTTCGAGATCTTGCCACCCTTGCAGGGTTTTATCCCTCTGTAGTACAGATATACGTGCTCGCAGCTCTTCCACTGCTCTATCCTTGTTCAGCATAGTGGATAAGGATAAATAAAATATAAAGGTAAGCATTTGCCATCATTTGTCCGATCAATCCTTTGGGATGCGGCACGCATTCTACTTCCATTTGTACATTCGCAGTGGCATTTGAATGCGATGTGGCCTATACAATGACTTGCGGGGGCCAGCCGATGTCAAGTCAGTGTTTTTATCCTCCCAGACAAGTCTGGTACCAATTAACCGACCCCGGAGGGATGGAAGGCTTGGTTGGCCCGGGCGACTCACGACCCAGGATTTGATCCCCGGACCGCTCGCGTGGTAAGCGCGCCACTTGTCACTACACCACTTCCGCCCTATGAATTCTTGTAGTTTTATGATTATAATACCGCGTCTGTCTGTCAGCATAGTGATACAAAGGACAAAGTTTTTGGCACTATTTGAAGCTTTTGGGGATGTTCTTGCATTCTTCCCAATTCGGACCTTGTGGCACTCATGATCAGATATGGCATGGCCTAAAGAATGACTTGCGGGACCAGTCGATGTATAATCTGTTTCGACCTAGCAAACAGGTACAGTTCACTTACCTCGGGGAATGGAATGCTGCCTGACGAGATGATAGAATATTAGTTTCCTCTGACATGTGTGGGAAAGCCCTGCTTTGGTAATCATACTCCTCCGTCATTATGCAGTGTATTCTTAGATGTGATATTTTTTTTTTCAAAACCAAGCTATCTTGCTCGATAGCAGTTACCACTATTAGGAAATCAATCCATACTCCGTGGGCAGGTTTTTTGTACGGGAAGTTATTCTACAATTGGGAAATTATTGGTAGCGGCGTATCTTACGTATTTAACAATAACCGCCCCATTCTCCTGAATAAGAAATGTAACGGAATGCGTTGCCTGTCCTCTTGACGCTTGTATCGCCAGAAATGTTAGAAAATCGTCCCTATGACGGAACAAAAGCTCAAATTTCTAGCTGTAACTATCTTGACCTCGAGTTTCAACGGAAACTCGCCGCTCCTCTGCTAATTACTTAAATACGGATCTTTAGATACACGTTTATGGTGCTGTCGGAACATTTCAATTTAACTCGTACCATCTTAAGTAACCGTTTGTTAGTAAATCAACATATCAGAACTCAAGTGCTCATTTTCATATTTTCATTAACAACCACAATCCACATAAGGTTTCACGAATTCCATGCAAAAAGGCTTAAACCCCAGTTCAGGAGGTCCCGAAAATTTCAATGCATACTACGAGGGAATCATCACGAAGCCTAGTGAGAACATGCATGAATAATAACGAACTTACTCAGAAACCGAAACAGTAAAAGTCCCTCAAACTGGTGTTACTGGATTTCCCAATCCCGCCCCCTGGGCTCATTGGACGCGTCGGCAATCGTGCTCGTTTTGGGACCACAGGGAAAATTGATTGAAAAATGGAGCGCGTTTACAGCGGGCACGTTCAGACAACTCGTCCAACGTGCGTCTTTATCCATTGCTGAGCGGCAGAGGGAGAGTACCTGTCTAAGACCCTCCCCGACGTTTTTTTTTCCAGTTTTTCATACATTAATCGTCTGGTTTTCATCTACAACTTCATTATTGGTGGTTTTTCCCGCGAAACCGTTCCTGAACTGTTGCTTTAAAATACGCATTGTGCTAAAAATCTATTTTGCAACCCCTCATCGCCAGAACTTGCTGGGTCATCACCTCGTGATTAAATAACGTAGCCGTAAATGCACTGAGAGGTTGGTGAATTTTTACCTGAGAACAGGAAATAATAAACTTCTCGGTAGCTCCACTTTTGACTGGGAACCCTTACTCTAGAATTTCTTTGTCTAAGCAGCGATCTCACTGTTCGTGCCATCCTCCATAAATCTGAGTAGATCAACATACATATCAGGTAAATGGCTTGCCTTCTTCTATCTAATCTTGTCTCTATCAATCCATCGGTACTGATTTTGAAAAGAACCCCAAAATAAAAGAAGTAGGTGTTACCGCCCGACTACGCCCATGTGAGCGCGGTATATATATGGTCAACATTCGTCGTCAAAGTAAAAGAGAACGGTGGCTATCCGCAAGAACACGGAGGTATTGTGGTGACAATTGTAGTGAACATTTCGGTGGATGTCTTTAGAGCAATAATTCTCCTTTTTTACGCGGGACTGCCTTCCGGGGTGAGGAGGAGGCTCAGAGGTGACGCGAGACAATTTCAATCTCCCCGAAAATGTTCTCTGCCATTTATGGCTTTCTTTCCCGATCATGCCTCGTATCTTGTAATGGCGCTGAAGCTGTTTTATTTTATTTCTCACTACAAAACATGGAAGTCCCAACCGATATTTCGTGTAAGCTCCAAAGAATTTGATACAAATCAACTCAACCGCCGCGAGCCCTCTAGGTGAATTCCATGCGGACATTAATCGCTGAAGGATGCATGCGATAAAGTGCTTCATTTCCGCTCAAGCATATAAAAGGATAAAATGATTTTGATGTTTACAGAAAGTTAATAGGGTGTTTTTAAGGTCTTAGTTTACGAGATATGTTATGAATAGCACCAATTCCTTTCACTCCATCACCATTCGACTGGGATGAGCTCGTTCCTTCAGAGCCCTCTCTCACTTGCTTTTATGCCTACCCTACCTTGTCCGTAAGTTCTTATCTGTTCAACTAGAGCATCCCTTTTACGTCTTCGAGGTGATAATTTCTCGGGCGCTGCAGTCTTCGGAGGGGAGGGGGTAGGAAGGGATATCCAAGTGAATGAGCCACTACAGCACCTTGGACTGAGCTTTAGTGAGGGGAAAGGACTCTTTGAGAGCATATCAACGATTTTGTTCTTCCTGGCCTCTCCCGCCACTCTTTGGCTTAGTTCTAGTACCGCTTACCAGCGGTTTTCGAATGCCCTATCTGAATGTTCCCCCTCCCTTAAGGACATAAGCGCCAATTCCTTTGGACATCTGTCCGTTGTCGCTTTGCAGCTCAGCAGTTTTCCAGGGCTGACGACAAGCCGACTGTAATGCCCAGTCTGGCGAATCAGACCTGTCCTCGAATTAATCAGATACTCTTTGATTTTCCTGATGACGTCATCAGAAGCAGTAAAATACTCAGACGCTGTACTTCTATAATGAGTAGTATTGATCGTATAGTGCAGTGAGTACCATTTTAAACTTACTTTTAGGTAATGAACAGCGTTTCGATAGGAAGTATAGAATTAACAGTCCGTCTGGCCGAGCCAAGCGGAGGGAGGGGTTTATTCGTGGTATTTCATAGGGTTCATATTTAGGATTGAAGAAAGTCAACCACGTTCAAGGGGGAGGTCGTATTTGTGCAAGTTAAGGGGGTCTCAGGACGGAGAAAAGCTCGTTTTTGACGTTTTTTTTTCACAATTTCTAGGGAAACGTTGCGAAATAAAGGAAAATGGAACATTTTCAGTTCAGTCATAATAACCCTTCGTTATTATCACACCCACCCCGTTCTGCGCAGTTTTGGAGGCAATGTGGATGGCATTAGTGTGTCGAGTGGTCTCAAAAACAAATTTTGCTCCACCCTCTGAACAATCTCGGCGACTCGGCTACACAGCGACCGTTTTAATCGATACGTATACATTCCTTTCTGCTGAATCACTGGATTTCCCATCCTGGGATTCCTGCCTTACCGTGCAATGAGCGCGGATGCACCCTTTTTTTCAAAAGCAACTTTGATCGCTACCCTGACCTTATAGGCTTTAGACCATTCGAATGGTAGATTTTCAAAGAAAAACCATCAACTGAGCAGTCCTTCATCATGGAAAATTTCAGGATGAATGGAATACATCGTAATACGTGTCTCATTTTACAAGCTGGTGCACAAGCATCTATGCGCCTTGGCTATTACGTGACACTTCCCAGGAATTGGAATTCACTAGTCGAAGTGCCATTCTGTTTGGCTCTCAGCAAAGTGAGCATAGTATTAAATCGTTTCATTGCGAGTGACTGGGCGGGGAGAGGGTTGCGCGCGGACAAACTATGCGGCGCGGATGTTCGTTTCATTGCGAGTGACTGGGCGGGGCAGAGGGTTGCGCGCGGACAAACTATGCGGCGCGGATGTGTTTGCAAAAACTTGCACACTTTTGCAGAACGAAATGGTTTTTTCAAAGAAAAAATGCCCCTTTAAGACATGAAATGACTATGATAGATACCGGGGGTGAGTCACTCATCACATTGAAGAGTGTAGTGTATGAGGCCCGTATATGTCCACGTAAGTCTGAAGTAAACACCGAAAGAGAACAGAGTTTATTATGAACAAAATAATAAATGAACAGAACGGTGTGAGAATAAAGGGGGTTGACGAGTAGAAGTCGTCCAGTTGAGGGGTTCCTTGAATAGGGCGAACGGCGGCTGCTGGAGTAGTCGTTGGGGAGGGTTTCTGACGAGAAGACTTCTGGCGGGCCCGATGCCCGCACCGCCGGAGACCAGAGGAAGACGACTTCAGAAGATGCATCTGCCTTTTATAGGGAACTCCTGGTCCTCTTGACCTCCGGCGGGAAACTTCCCTCGCGATCACATGGCTGTGACCTTCTTGCAATTCCGTGGCGCTCCGGTCCTGATCTCCACAAGAGCGCTATATCCAAGTGCGCGGGCAAATGAAGTGCCCCAGAAAACCTCATCAAAAGACCAATGCGCCAATCCTCTCCTACAAGATTTGTTCCGCTCCGCTGTTGTATTCTTCCCATAGTTCGGTCTTAATTTCAGACAGGCAGATGTCCCCGAGCATTGGACGCAGAACATCTGGCATTGGTAGAAAGATGGTTGACACTGTTAACTGAAGTGCTGGAACCGTTCCAAAACATTAGTCCTAGTCAGCTCGACGCCATCGCCCCTAGTCATACAGTTTCTAGAAACGTCAACGATGGAATGGTTCAGCACCATTCAATAGTAAGTTAGCACTTCTTAAGCATTCCGATTCGTTTATTACGTATCTCAAAAGCACATTCAGTGATTGTTGAAGGAAAGAAATACTCGCGCAAAAGTGGTAGGCTGTAAAGCACGCCCCAAAGCTCAGTGATGTTCTTGTTCTTGAAGGTACAGGTCGGAATCAGATTAAAGTGTGATTTTGTCCGCAAATCAGGCAATAAGTGAATGAGAACATTAGAAGGGAGAAAAACTGCCACAGAAGACACTGAAATTTCGTTTGTAAGGTCGGCGGTGGGATGAAGGAGAGACACGGGGTTACTAGGAGACAGAAAACGTGAGAGAGTATGTTGTACGCAAGAGGGCGCAGGCGGTAAGGATGGCGCCAGGGCAGCACACAAGGCGAGATCTTGGCGCCGTTGCCTCGCACTTTTGACTCCCCGCAATACATATCGTGTCTCCTGCGTTTGGTGCACTCTTTCTCTATCTAGAAGGGACCACCTTCGCGGCGCCTAATTCCGACCCGAAGCTGGACCAATGGTCCTGATTTTTTGTTGAAAACAAAGGTGAACAATGGGTCAGAGAAATTCTGGCTATTACGACGCCCGTTCTCGTGGATACTATCTCCATCACCCCTGACTCTAGCCAACCTATTTGATGATGTACCAGCACGGTTCCATTGAAGATTTGACACCGTCTCGCCTCCGCAACTTGCCAAAGTGCATGAGAGCGCCGGGAGAGAGGGCGGTCGGGAAGAAAGTCGTGACTTATCGTGTCTCGACACGGGCGCACCTGTCCGATCTGTCGCAGTTGGATTCGGTAACAAGAGGCACACATGTCGCTAGAGCACCAAAAGGCGCTCGGTCTTATTTCGCTTTTCACGCCTTTCATGGTGTGATACCGGTCGCGCATTAACACTGCTGGCCCCTATAACCGAGTGATTATCTTGTGCGCGTGTGTGTTTCTTTCACCGATTTTGGTAAGGTTCATAGAACGATAGCTCTGCTTACTTTCAGTGGGATAGGTTTCCAATCGAACAATGGACAGAGCGAAAAAAGTGGACATTGTGACAGCTATTGGAAGAATATTTATTTGCAGAATACCAGCTCGAACTAATCATCTCAATGTCAGATGGTTTATGATATTTGTCAAACATATGGTACACTTACAGAGAGAGTTCTAAGGAAGTCAGGAGATTTGCTAATAGAACATATAAGATTGTGAACATTTCTGCTACAAAAGTTCCATCAATAAATAATTCTTTGGTATGGAGGAAATCAAATCATTCTTGTGTATAAAGGGAAACTTAAAGGACCAGCCTGACACTAAAAAATTGTCAACTTGCGCCAAGGACCACAACAAAGGAGTGAACAGGGGCACAGAAATTTAATTGCATCTACCGTTCTTTGTGAAGGAAGCGACCCAGACAGAATCAAAACTATAAGGTAGTTAGCAACGATAAGGCTGCAGTGATGCCGCAAAAAAAAAGTACCAAGAAATTAACAACTGTGGTCACCTACCGTAATCTTATCAATAACACAGGGCAATGAATTGGACGGTGGTGGCCGTACACAGCAGCTCCGGCCCGGAATAACACGGTTGGGAATCGCCGAACAATCTCCCCTCCCCCCTCATGGGCAAAGTAAACTGATCCGCAGATGTGTGGGTTGTCCTAACTTGTAGCACAAAAGGAGTGACAAGGTTTAAAGGACTTGTGTATGTCGTAAGTCCGGGAACGCTCATCTTACGACCAATAACCAGCGAGCGGCAAGATTGTTTGAAAATATCACTGGCTGCAAGGATGAAATTTCCCTCAATAGGTGAACAATGATATTGCTGAGTTTGACGTGATACCTGATAGTAAGTGCCAGTTCTGAGAAGCAAATCCTTTTGTTCTTGTAGATTCAGCGAATCAATTGGAAAACTGAGAAACGCGTTTGTAGAGGTTTTCTGGCCGTGTATCAATGTTTTTCCTTTTAGACAAGCTACTTAGAACCTCTCTTTCTTGGTATGGTAGTTTACACATTGCCTACTGCAAATTGCGTCATCAAAAGAGAAGCGGCTGCACACACATATAGAAAAGTCATGTGCAGATGATGACTTTGAGACACCCACCAGGAGGGGGGGGGGGGTGTAGAAGCATTAAAAAGACATTTTTCTACATTAAAACGGAATCAATTGTTTGCTAAGCTCAGTGCTACTGCATGTTGAAGAGCACACATTACACTTTGTGAAAAATTTCCTAATAGCCTTCGCGAACAACATCTGAAGAATCTGCCACGGAGACATGGTACACGATTCGAACTTAAAGGCATGCCCCAGGATCACATTGGTGTGGCTCTTGCACACGAATGCGAATGTATTGGTGCGAAATGGGCCGGCAGTAAAGAAAAAAGGAAAAGAATCCGTCGAAAACGCTAGGTTAAGGGCTCACTCACCTTCCTAATCGGCTGTGCTAAGGGAATGAGAGACTAAGCGCGGAGAGGAGAGTATGAGGCGAGAGAGCGCTACAGATGAGAGAGCGCCAGACAACAGCCTGATAAGAGAAAAAAGTCTGCAGCTTCAGCAGCTTACTTTGCAAGGCCCAAGCGCTCTTGTCGGTTGGTTTCCGTGCACGAGAACGCCACATTTGTGATTGTCCTCTAGGGGTCTATACTACAGACCGAAGAGAAGCGTTCACACGACCTCTGCCTAGCTGGACACGGAACTGAGCGGAGCGTTGTGCCTTGAGAGCTAGTCACAGATTCAGTGAGCCATAACGGCAAGATGGGCGGAAGTTTTTTCTGGCCACGTAATTCTTTAGGCTTTTTTTGATTTCCTTAATTGGTTTGTTTGCTTTTCTCGGTTATATTCAAAGAAATGGCCTCTGACAAAAGTCCAAACCAGTTGTAATTCTCTGTACCAGCCAACCTCTGCTCGACTCTCCTGCCACATTTCAAGACAAGGTACAACTGTAAAAAAAAAATCGAAGTATTGCTTTGCTTACACTGGAAGGAGTGGATACCGAGTTGCCATGGCCATTCAGGAAAAGATGGATACGACCAAATAGATGTGCCTTCGAACGCTGATCTCGAATTTGCCTTCCATATCTACTAAACTATTTTCTGAGAGGAATTGCGAAGCGAAATAGCGCTACGGTAGTTGTCGGGATTAGAATCGGCCCGTTGTCGTGTTTTCTGTCTTGCTTTACTGATGAAGACAAGCTGAAACGCTTTAAAGTTACCACAACGACCGATAAAGGCAGGCCATCGACGTTTTTAACTGTGATTCCGATATATCGTGCGCAGGTTACTCACACTCTCGTTCAAATCTTTTAGAGATTTGGAGATAGATTTGAGATCAGCGTCTTGAAGCTTATAAATTTTTTTTATGTACACGTTCTTCTATAGGGCCATGGCAAAACAGGCTCTCTCCGTGACTCTAAGACAGGTGGAAGCTATGCTGCCTGTCCCACGGCTGAACTCTGGCCGTGCTCTCCGTAGTTCTTCCCGCTTATTGATTGGTCCCATTCAGGCAAGATGGCGCGATAAAATAGAGTGCGGCCGAGAAGCGTATAAGCGATAGGTGGAGATCTTGTTAAAGAGAAGGAAAGTAAGCGAAACCACCGATTACGCCCCGTACAGAGACCTTCCCTATTTCAGCCATGATCCATTTTTCCTCAATGCCTCCAGGAATGTCAAAGTTAGTAAAGAAATGGTCCAGAGTTCGATCCCTGGTGATGACTAATTTTTGCAATATAGTTTGGCGCCCCAGATTGCCGCCAAATAACGCCATCGTCGAGTATAGATGCCATTGTCGTTCTGAGGGAATTTGGAAGCCAACATTAGTTGCAAATGAAATTTGTCGTCACGGGGGAATGAGTTTTGGACCATTCCTTTCTCGCTCTCTTGACATACCCGGGGGCGTTCAGGAAAAATGAACCATGGCTCTGTGTTCCTCACATGGGCCTCTACATTATTCCGGTAACAACTTTGAAAAAAACGCGGTCCACCTCTGAAAGACTCTCTCCCCCCTTGTTAGCGCGCATTCACCCGTCGCATGTGGGCTCCGTGGGTCTGGGCTGACCCACGCGAACCAAAGTCCACAACTTTCCCAAATGTGTTCTAAAGTGATAGCTTATTCATGCCAAATAAGCAGAAATACATATCCAGGGCAAATCGGCCATAAATTGTTGGACGCTCAATGAGCAACACTGATCACCATTCCCCGGATATTGGGCTATATTTACCAAGTTCCAATTTTCGTTCCTGTGCAGCGTTTCTGTGTATTCCACTCCATCGAAAGAGCAGGTTTCTCATTCTTGGCACCGCTATCAGCTACATTCACATGTGAATCGTGTAAAATTTCCCGTCTCCTTTTGTTTCTCCATTGCTTAATCCAACTTATCACGGAATGCAAATCACTGCCGAGTGATTACTGTGGAACCAATTATATAAAAACTTTACATGTAACAATTTATAAGAACAAATAACAAATCAATTATTCGGCTCCTCTTCGGGACTTGAGAACCTTTGAAACAATCTTCTGCTCTTCAAGGAGGAATGAACGGATGATACGCTCCTTCACAGCATTAGGCGACAGACATCCTCCATACGTGCGAGAGACAGTTCTCTGGTTCTTCTTCAGTCTAGTAAGCTCACGTGGACGAGCAGGAGTAATCTGAACAGTGCAGAATCATGTTCCTAATCAAGGTCTTGTGTTTGAAAGTTTGTCACAGAGTACGGAGCTTTCAAGAATTGCAATGTGACCTAAAAAAGAAGCCTAAGTAGAAGGTTTCTCATTAGGCTGATGTCAGAGTCCGCAATCCGTCGCGCGATCTGCGTGACGGAAACAGAATTACAAGTGCCCGATCAATACTACTCTCCAATCCCGCCGCCATTTCTGCTTGATGGTGATGGTTGAATGACGACTGTTCATGATTCTACTTGTTTCATATTCAGTGTTTCAAATGTTCAAATGGGGCACTTGCGATTTTTGCGATTCGCGCGAATCGCGCGACGGATCGCGGACTCTGACAGCAACTTTGAAGCTCCAATGCTTGCTACGTGTCGGCCAGGAATCCCACC